CAGAAGTACATCGGGGTTCATGGCAGGACTCTTGTGTTCCCGATCAAGTTCATCGATCCAGTCAATCCAGTCTTGCTCCTCTTCTGCTTCGCCGGGAAGCAGATCGTCCCTCCCATTCCAACCAAACTTGAGGCGAAGGGTAAACATCATCTTGTTAAGTTGGGCGAATGATGGCCGCAGAGAGGGATCCCACGCCCAGCATTGGCGGATGATCTCTGCCAGATGGGGACTCCATTGCGCAAGGGGCGGGATTTCGGGACGCATGTTCTCGACTTCGCCATATCAGCGGCGGCCAGGAAATGGTTTAGCAGCGGCTTACCGGATACGAAATTCCTAACAGCGTTGTCATCAGCCAGAGGCCAAGGCACACCACCCTTCGTCAGGATCTCTATGCATGTTATGGCGAAGGCATAAACATCAACCTCTGTCGTCAGCTTGCTTTGTCCCGCCATCAACTCGGGAGCCTGCCAGCGGAGGGTACCGTCTGCACAGAGCGTGAGAGATGTAACAATTTCGCATAGAGTATATACTTACGAGGAAGCGGCGTTCCACTCAGCCTATACGCCTCGGACCTCAGCTCGCTTTGACCGAAGTCGGAAATGATGCAATGGCCGTACTTGTTGATCAGCACGTTGGCGGCCTGCAGTTTGACGTGTCAGTTAGACTCAGCCTGATCACTGAACATAGTGAAGTCATACCTTGAGGTCTCCGTGAAGCACCTCCCGCGTATGTAAGTATTGCATCCCTTGCACGATCTCGTGTATCATCCTCAAAACACCCTGCGACGCGTCAACGACCATGGATTCCCACTGCTCCTTGGCTAGCCCCTTTACCCACTTCACCAGCGACCCACGCTCGTAGCACCGACTGACGATGAACCAGGGCAGCTGCGTCAAAGACGAGTCCCAGCCGATAGTCATGGGCGTCGCCTCTACCGCGCTCGCACCAACCATCTCGAGGATGTTCTTGTGCCGGAGCTCGTTCCACACATGCACCTCTCGGAGGAACGTCTCCTTCGGCGTCCACGAGGCGAGGACCTTCACCGCCACGACGCGGTTTCGGTAGCGCCCCTTCCACACCTGGCTGAAAAAGCCTTGGCCAACGCTCTCCTCAAGGTCGACCTCATACCGAGTAATTGTCCAAGCGGGGAGCGAAAGCGAGGCTGGCGTTGTGCCCGATGCGACGGAAAGTCGCAGGAGGGAGTCGATGCCGGACTCCATGAACTCACGATCGAGTGTGTCGTGGGACGAGCCAGTCGTGGCTGTCCTGTCAGAAGCAGGCGCCTTGTCGGAGGCAGCATGCGAAGAAGACGACGAGCGCGAAAGTGGAGCGTCCACCGTTTGTTTCCTCGACAGGCTCTCACCCAGCACCTCTATGCTTTCCCCCGCCTTGCTCCTCCCGCTTCCCACCACACCATCCATCATCGCCTGCATGCTCGCGATGCTGTCATCCTGCACCAGCTCTCCTGTCCCTTCCTCCTGTGCCTGCGCCGCTAGCGTCCGCTCCCGCGCGACCTCGTCCTCCAGCGCGCGCTGGAGCGCCTTGAGCGCCTCGGGCGCGTCCTCGGGCTTGACCTGCAGGAGCTGGATCATCTCCGCGTCGTCGTTGCGCTCGAGCGCGCGGCGCATCATCATGCGCAGGTCGGCGAGGTCGTGCAGCGCATCATGCACGTTCTGCCACTCGGTCAGCTCCTGCATCTTCTCGCGCATGAGCGGTTTCTCGCGCGGGACGGCCTCCGGGAGCGGTGGGCGTGGCGGCGGCTCGAAGGCTTGCATCTCGTACGGGATACGCACACCGGAGAGAAAGGGCCCGAGATTCAGTCCGAGGCTGTCCAGTTCTCCCGAAGGCGTGTGTACGGCGGGGTTGCTCTCGGGTTCTGCGGTGTAGCCGCCCACCGGTCCCTGCTCACTGATGGGGGAGGAAACGAACTGAGACGTCGGTGTGTGTGGAGACTGGTAGGGTGGGAGCGGAGTGCCTTGGAACGGCGGTGTGTGCAGAATCTGTTCGAAAAGTCTGGAATTGTCCTCTTGGCGCTGTTGTTCTGCTTGCAGCACTTGTTCGAATATGCGAATCTGAACGGAGAGCTAATAGGGAAATTAGATAAGCTCTGGCAGCGAAGGTGCTGAAACCTACCGAGAACACGTCGAAAGCGTCATTAAGGGCGGTATGACATGCGGCAAGTTCGCGTTGAATCTCGTCGCGCTTAAGGTACCTCTTCAAAAACGGCCGGCGCGCCAATCGCTCCAGGAACTGGTGAACTTGCCGGAAAGCGCTGCGAACGTGAATGAATTGAGTACATGTATGTGTCCGTAATGAGGAGAAAACTCACTCCTTCAGCCTGTCTAGAGGCGCTTTCAATCGCCCGCTAACTAGATCCGAGTGAGGACGCTTGCCGCTGGGCGACTCGGGGAGGCCCTTCTCCAGCTCCTTGAGCTGGGAGCCTAGCTTCGGCGTGCTGGAGCTTGCTTGTGCGCCTAGTTGATCGGCTTCCTGGATCTCCTGCTTGATAGCGAGGAGCATGTTCGCACACCGTTCCGTGAGTCGGAGGCAAGCCAGCCGATTGAACTAGGTTTACCAGCGGTTCAATACTCCAGCGGCCGGGATCTGATGTCGGCGCTAGACTCACCTCGACCATTTGCACGGCATCCCAGATCGTGAGGAGCGTTCTTGCGGCCTCCGCGAGTCCCACAACCGGCACGAACTCGAGCGCATCGACGGCGACCTCTAGAGTGTCATGCAAAATATCCAGGCCCAAGTCTGCCATCTCCTTCACCACGACATCAATTTTCTAAAACGGGCAGGTCAGCATCCGGATTCTGTCATCGGCGCCAAAATGCAATGCGAACAAGCGCTCACCGTCTTTGTGCGCTCCCAGCCCTCGTGTTGCTCGAGCGGGACGCTCCCCCGCCGGTGCCAGAGGTTCGAGGAGTGGTGCGGCGTACCCGGTCCCCGCGGCGAGGCGTCCCCTTGCTGCGTCTTCGCGTCGTCTTCCCACGGCCGCGACGGGCCCGCGCGGGGCAGGTGCCAGAAGAACATTTTCTCGTCCCCCCCGTCTGGGTGCGGCTGCTGCTGGAGGCCGTGCGACGTCGACGGCCGGGAGTCGATGGGTGAGGCCTGCGTAGAGGGCGAGCTGTGCTTGAAGGAGCTCCACGACATCGCAAGGTCGCGCAGGGGGCTCCGCCCGCGGCTGGCCGACGTGTCGCGAGAGTTCGGCGCTGAGCTATCATTCGAGATGGCACGACCGCGTCCAGCACCGGGGGACGGGGCGCGCGACATGGGCTGCGGTAGTGGGTTGGAGACGACGCGCATCATTGGCGCAGCTGTAAGACGGGACAACGAGCCTGAGGGTGAGTTGTCTGGACGGATCGTGGATGCGGAGAGTCCTCGGGGCCGTGTTCGTGGGTGCGGCTGCTGAAGCGTGTCGTGCAAAGCTGTTTCACCAGTAGTAGGAGAGGCCAGTGGCCTTTCGTGTTGTGGAGGAGTGACACTGACAACAGGATGGTCTTCAACGAGTGTAGCCAGTACGGGATCAGACTTGGATTGTTGAGCGGACGCCCCAGGAAGAGTTAACGAGACCACGGTTGGCGTCGAGCCTGGCGAAGAGGACGAGTGAGAGGACGACGTGGCCTCCACCGTGAAAGGCGATGTAAGTGGAAGCATGGCGTCGCTAAGAGTGGCTGCGGAGGGTGTGTTATTGTCCGACGTGTTCCGGAGCGGCAGTGTCTGTGATTGAGGGGACAATCGCAAGGTAGATGTCCTTGACCGTCTGGACGAGCTAAGCGATCCCAACGTTCTCTGAAGGAGCGATGACGATTTGCTCTTCACAGACTCTTTCGCGTTGTCTTTTGACTGTTTCTTAGTCGAGTCGTCGTTGCCCGCGCCGGTTGGGGGCATAGTTGGTAGTGACTAGGATCCTACTAATACAATGAGGCCTCCTGGACAGCGCAGCTCGGAGCGGTGCTTACCCTAGTGCGTCACGAGGCCTAGTGACTCCCGTTTCACCACTGACAACACTCGGCTAGTATATGCTTTTGCCGTGATCCGTCTTTCCTAGGGCACCGGAGTCCCGGAATAGTGAGTACGTGATGTTGAACGATCTGTGTTCACTGTCAGGTGGCCAATATGGCGGATATCTCGAAGACACGTACCGCAGAGCACGTTCACTCAAGCGCAGTCTCAAGCTGGACATGCGAAAGCAGTGAGCAAAGCGATGGGCACAGATCTGAAAGTGCGACCCACCGATGCGCCGCGAAGACTAGCCGACGCGTCTCCAGCTTGCTTGAATACGGCGTATGGGGTCCGATGTCCGCGGCGAAGAAAGTCCAGGTTACCGCTCGGCAAGGACAAGGTTATCCGGGACGACCAAAACGGCCTCTGTACCCTGCACTTATAATGCTACCAGCTGCCAGCAGCGAATTCGGGACGGCTGGGGTCGCACAGCGGAGTGGCTGGATTTCGGGGTGGGTGGAGAGAACGAAGGAGAAGAACTCGGGCAAGAGGACTGATCCTGGTGGCTACAACGTAGCTTCTCGTCCTATTTGGTGACATACATCACGCTGTTCAAGCCCCAGTAAAGATTGGTATTGATATCCTTCATCGCAAACACACCAAGAAGCCTGGCTATAACAAACGTCTGCAGCGGTGTTAGCGGCCACAGGGTGGGTTGAATGACCTTCGTACGCACGCTACAAATTCGCCCAATTGCCTCGCATAGGCATCCTCCCATGGGCAGCTCCTTCTCTCAGCGAGCCTTGGGGCACGTTACACGTTGAGACACGGGATAAGGTGAGTGCTACAAGGTTGCCGGCGCATGTGGGTGGATCGAAAATCGCATGAAAGGGCGTGCTGCAGCCCCTGCTCGCCGTTCTGAGATGCAAACCAGCCCCAACCATGCTCGGGAGAAGCCTTTGCGGCACACGGCACCGCGCGCAGCCGAACGCTGCCTATCCAGGCCACGAAATGCCAAGGATTGATATTGCTACATTTGGAGCGCTTATTGCGGTCCGATGGTCTAGGGGTATGAAGCTCTCTTGGGGCGGTTCACTGTCTATAGGCGAGGTCCCGAGTTCGATTCCCGGTTGAGCGCCATTGTTCTTTTTCCTTCGGCGCGATTTCACAGCAATCGATTGGATTCGAACCAGTCGCAGCCATTTCAAGCAATTTTGGTGGTAGGAAGCGTGGCAAGACAGGAAGGTAAGGAGCTACGGATAGAATGAAGCTATGGGTCGAGAGAGCGGTCTGTTCCTACGAAATAAGACTCACTTCAAGAATGGCATTGCTGAACTAGATATAATCAATTGTGGATGTGTGGGCTACTTACTTACCTGTGAACCGAGTAATGTAGGCCAGCTGGCGGTATGCATTCAGTTCAGTGTATACGTATAGAAGTCCTGATAAACGAGCCCGCACGCATGGATAGGAAGCTCATGATAGAAAAGCTTGATCACGTTTGGCGATCACCATATGGATAGATACGGTGTGCGCAAAGACTGTCAACGACGGGTGTTGGAATTTGTTTACACAAGTGTCCTTCCTCATCTTGATGTTTGAGTCGAAGTTATTAAAAAATTGCAAGACGAGGTATGATGGCAATATCCTCGAGATTAGGAATAAAATCGGAAGATAGGTATCTCTTCTGGATTACACGGTACAGAGTCCTGGTATTCACCCGAACGTGTCTGAGCCAGCGCAGGCATGAGAGTGCTTCCAGTTCGCATCATCCCGTGTTGGGTAAGACGCGACCCGAGCCATACCAATTTTTATCTGACCGAGCTTCTGGATGGGCGCCGGGATCAGCTGATTGTTGAGCGGGTGTTATTGGCATCGTCATGACCTATGCAGATATCAGGCCATGTCAATAATGTATTCAGCGATGAGAGCAGCTGGGAACTCAGAAATGGCGTCAGACCTGTGGTCGGGTATAACTGCTGCGCGAGCATCGAAGCGATATTACGCTGATCGAAACAACCCGAATTTGTGGGCGCCACATCCGATGTCAAGGACATTCGTGGCTCCCGATGTTGGTCCAAGGTGAGCTCTGTGTGGCAGATGACAATGGAAAAGGGGTGGGATGGCGGCGTTGCAAGGGTACGCAGCAGTAGAGACGGTAGAATGCCCCACGTATTTGTAGTTCGGCGTCGTTCTCGGAGGAAGTGTGCATCGACGATGCGCGATGTTATCGACCATAGGGTCAGCTTGGGGTTAGCCCCGCGGAGGTTGCCATAATCGAAGTCGGTCAGCGCATGACCCATTCGGTACTGAGCGCAGAGGGACGCGCTGTCTAGGCTCCCAGCTGACGCTGCAGGGGTATGCGGGGAGACCTGTGGCTGTGAGTGGGAAGGCGGTCCACTGTGGCTTCCACCGGCCGCCTGACCTGAACTCGCTCACCAAACTCTAGACGATAATTGCGTTCAGTTGCACTTCTGCCCCGCCCACATGCGCTATCCCGATAAGGCCAAGGTTGAAGATAGCCGGCCAAACACCCGGGGCATGAGGGTTGCATGAACTTCTCCGACGTTGCGCGTGCCAGGAAAGAGTGCTGCTCAGCAGCTAAGAAAGCAGGCCACTCATGTGGTGATCTCCGAGAAGGGTGCCCGGTCCGCTAAACACTGACGTGTTTACCAACCTAGTCTCACGACCGTCGAAGATGAAGCCACACGCCCGGTTCATAGTTCCAGGGTGATTTGACACTTGCCCTGAATATTTAAAAGCAGCATGTGAGTGAACAGTAGCCCGAACATGAGGATCTTCGCACCTCGAGGAGTGGTTCTCTATTTAATTGTTTGTATAGCACAGATATATCAAACTGGAACTGCGAGGATATAATTCGTGCGCCGTCAGAAGTCAGGGCAGCTTGTTTGCCGGGAGTATTCGCATGTATACAGCGGTTCGGAGCCGGCAAACCAATGCTCCTTCCCTCACATACATCCGAGAAGAGCGATCGGCTGCTCGGGGACTCTGTGCCACGATCAGATAGCAGCTGTTATGAGACCACCATTGTATTGCAAGGACCATCATGCTCATACATGGACCAAGCACCTAGGAGGAAAAACGTCAGCGTTTGAAATGTGCGCTGGGAAGACCCAGTGTGCGCTTCGAATATTTGTGGACCAGCGGGGATGTCTAAATTCTACGGCGCACGTTTACTCAAGTATTGGTTCCAGGGCTTTACGGTCGTCCTTGGGAGATTTCCATGACTAAACGTTACCGGAAATATCTATGATGATCAGAGACCAGGAATAATGGAGGACGCATTACTATGTGAGCGAAATGTGGGCGAAAGGCAGCGCAACGCACCCTGGCAAACCTTGTAGCTAGAGGCTTTGGTTATCAGACGAATGAATGACAACCTTCACGGGGTGAGGGCAGCACCAAATGAACGGACACACACGTACACAGCCATCGCCGGAGTTTCTGCTGTCAGCGTTCTGGATCCACACCAACCCTGCCTTCACTGAAGAGCGGGCGTTTCCCGGCGCGCTTTTGCGAGAAGATCAGGCTTATAGACCGCAGCTCGGAAACCTCGGACCCAACATTTACGGGGATTGAAGTTATCGGTAGGTAAAGACCGTCTTTGTCGGTTTGGTCAGGATCTGCGCTGGCGAGTATATTATCAATACTCGACAGTGCTGCGGCGACGGCGTCTTGGAGACTTGCTTGACATGTCGCGGGATAACGGCAGTATTCTGATAACATAGTCTGAGGTCAGCCAACATGGCAGATTTTCGACACGGGTCACCTACTTGTCGTGTTCACTGAGCTAAGAAGTTTGGGGGTTGCACCGTGGTCGCTACCTTTGCGAGGCTCGGTGTCTCTCGGACGTTGCCGAACAAAGGCGCCTGTGAAATCTATCGGCGCGTCCGGGACGATGCATGTTCCCACCGAACCACATCGTCCTCGACTTCGTTCGATTTGAGGGTACTCAGAAACGAGGCAGACTGTTCTTTGCCGTGTTGTGAGTTTTCTGACCGTCTTCGGTGTCAAGCTTGACAAGCTCGACTGAAGATGCATGCTTCCTACGTCAAGGCCGTGTGCTATACGAACTATGTGGAATTCAACGTTGTCTCATTACAATAGTGTGACTGATTCATGCATGTGCGAGTATGTTTTTAATATGGGTACTACAGGAACAATCCAGTGGTGAGCTGCCTGCTTCAGTTTCGAAAACGCACGGAAACTCACAGGCACTTCCCACGTGAAATCCAGGTCAGTCACCGCAGAGCCGACGTCACCAGTAGTCGCATTATACGTGAATAGCGTGAGCTCTGGCCAAAAATGAGGTCTTTGGCACGACAATGATCCATTTACGATAAGATCCTCCGTGGTCCAGCAGTTCGTTGGCCAACGTGAAAGTAAAGTTTCCCGTCCCAGCTTGCCCACCAAGGTTAAGGATGATCGGCCCTAGCAAATCAGGCGAATTATACACTTTGGAGATCTCCGTACCCGTCCAGTTGAGCACTGATATTAGGAATTTAGTATCAGGAAAACAGGGTGGTGGGGCAAACGTTGCTGCCACCTATTTCACCGGGGTAAGTGCTGCATCCGATAGGTGCTTCAAGGTGCTTACCGTAAAACCTGGTCCTCCAGTATTCCCCGTGTTTGTTCCGTTGGGAGCGAACATAGTCAGCGTTCCTTGCGGTGGGTCGCTAGTGGGTGCAATCGCATCCTGCTGGTAGGTCGCGTCGCTCAGCAGCGGCCGACGAGGCTACAAGGCCCACTAAACGACTATACCTAACTATCATGGTCATGAAAGAAAACTAAGGGCATTTTTTCGCCCGCCATGGCTTTATGCGCATGGAGTGCCGGGCATGGCCAGCCGTGAGTGCTATAGTTAACCTACGCGGGGCTTGCGGCGTAAATATGATCAAAATGATTCATGATAGCTCCGCAACAAGTCGCTACGGCTCAAGAAGTTAATTGTCTGCATCACCCTCAGACCAAGCTCTTTTTCATTGCCTGGGCGCGATCATTCGTGGTGATCAGGGATGTACAGCCCTCCGTATCATCATCCATCGGTCATGAGACCGGTCATTTCCTCACAACGCGCTGCCACACCCGTCCAGGGCAGAGGTAGTCACTCTAATAGTCTATCGAAAGCATTCCGCCCGCACTAGCAAGGCCCTCAATTCAGATCGACCTTGATAGGCACAGGCTTCGAAAATTCCTCACCGTGGTCGTTGTCGCCTGACAAGCTCTAGCAAGCGCTTGGACAGCGTCACATTCACAATGGCCTCGATGATCTTGTCCTCGGCTTTGTCGAGCTCCTGCCCGCATACACGACGCGAGGTGATTGAAACCCGTGCTATCATCCATTTCGGGGTGTTGGTGCTACTGTGGACCATGTAAGTCCTCAGTTCACACACACGTTCAGTCGTACGAACTAACTTCGGTGTCGGTTATTGCTCGGACGCTCAACATTTCATCCGCAATGGTCTCGTGTATGGCTGTCGTACTGCTCCTGTACGATAGTCTCGGAGACGCCTCTCCTGTTTGAATTGTGGCGTGTACCTCGAACCGCTTTTTAACCGGCTTTTAGGTGCTATACCGAATAGGCGTAGGCGTCTGTGTCTGGGAATTGCTAGTCCCTCCCCCTCTCACCATGCCAAAATCTCTTTATCCGCCAAACCGAGGTCTTATCTCTTTCGCAGGCTTCACAAAAGCTTCTCTCGACCTGTGCACCCCACCGGATGACGAGCGAAGTGTCTATTCTGACGGATACCATACACGTTTCCATAGGACATGCCATTCGTTGGCCTCATTGCTACTGCGGCTTCTGAAGCATCTCATGGTGTAATTCGCATCGCGGGAGCTTAGCATGTAGCCTAAACTGGTCCATGCGGGTGCGTCGTTCCCATTCATTGTGAGCCGCCTCAGGAAGCTGACCAGCCATCGCAGCCGTGTCATCATGGCTGCGGCCACGAAGCAGCCCGGCATCCTCTGCGGCTTCACTGCGGGACCACAGGATCTCATTTCATCCCGGCTGCTAGTCTTATTTCACGGCCTCTCCTCATCGGCTTCCTTTCGCTCCGATGAGCTTTGCAACACTCTGTGAACGATGTCATCCGAGCCGCTTTGTCATGAGAAGCA